GAAAATTGGTATATTTTTTCTGATGTATAATTTTTTCATCGATTATACCTCATTTTCCTATATTATGATGAGAGGAGTTACTGCTCTCATTTTCTTAATAGTGCATAGCATGTAAAGTTGTGGAAAATTTTGTTAGAACTATGTTTAACTTCAATGCACATACAACATTAATCCATAGGAGGCTCCCTCACATCAGAAAGAATCATTTAAAACAATATAATTTTTTTATCATTTGTTTTCAATTTTTGTTGATCTTTCTCCTCATAAAAACGTTGTTATCTTCATGATCCTGATAAATGCCATGTATTTAATCTCACTTCTCCATTAATATCTCATTCTTTGTTGATGGTCAAGGATTTAGGTTTACCTACTTTACAATTGATGTATCTCTTGCTAAAAATAATACTCAATTTTTTAAATCCTTAACAAATTAACATAGTAAAGGATTGATGTCATCATCATTTTTTATTAGACTTTAGATTTTCATTTTTCATTGGAATATGATTTTTTTCTCCTCTTTCAATATGTATCCTCAAGTCATCATAATTATCTCACTTTCTTCGGAAGTTATTATTGCTCATAAAAGAATTTGTCTGGTTCATCATTTAGTTGTTCAAATATGGATCTCAACATCATCGGTATCATCATAACTTAACTCACTATTGCTAATATTTTTACTATATTTCATGGAAGAATAACTTGTTGAATTTTAATGAATGTTGGAATTCATCACAGCTTAAAAAACCAATCTTACCAACCAGTGAAGATTATGTAAGAAATGTAAGCTTATCAACCGTAAATTAACATCATAAATAACAACTAGCTTAAATAGCAAACCAAATTGGAGCAAAAGCACTAATGTTCAATATTAAAAATTTAATCCAAACCAATGGAAGCATATCATTCTAGGAAAAATATCTACAGAATAAACATTACCTAAAGAGAATAATGTCAACCCTACTCAGTATAAGAATAATGTGGTAACAAATCTAATTCCAAACCACATTACTCATTTAGTTCATTTCAAGTGATAAAGCATATTTTGATAACATAAAAAGAAAAGCAATAACTAACATGACAATTTCAGTTTTCATTTGATTTTTCTGATCATAATGAATCAAGCATCAAGCTATTCAATCTTGTGGATATGTATAAGAAATTTTTTACAATGTTCTCTTTGAGGTAATGAAGATGATGTCTACATACTATTCATGATGATTGTTGAAAAGTACTCTTTGAGGATTTCCATGAATAATTTCTCAAAATAAAGTTAGGGTATATCAATGCACAAAATGAATTAATAAGTATTTTAGTGTTGTATGGTAGAAATTTTTAAGTAGGATTTCTGTAGGATTTAAGCTAAATAATACCAAACAGAAAAAATGCCTCTGTAAGTCCTACAAGTTCTTAAATCTCATTTTTCATTCGATTTGCCTTAAATATGAGATTTATTAAATCCCGTAGAAAACAGGATTTACGAATTTAGAGAATTTGAAGCTTATGGGATTTAGTAAATCCTATTAAATCCTATCAAAGTCACCAAAAAGTTTTTCAGGATTTAGCAGGATTTACTTCTTAACATAACAAATAGTTTTCAGAATTTAACCACATCAGGATTTGATAAATCAAGATTTACAATATTTACTAAATCCTATGCAAGCTAAGTTTTACTTGCAACTAAATAGCCTTTTGTAAATCATATTTAACTTAAATCTTACTTGTAGTTAAACACCCTTTAATGTAAATCCAAAGTGCATCCAAATAGCCCCTTAGGTATGAAATCGTGTGAAAAAGAAGATGAAAAGTTACCTTATTCAATGGCTTTGGGTATGAGTTTGGCGAAAGAAGGAGAAAAATGGAAATATCAGGTCTATGAAAGTCGTGATCCAAACGTACTTGATCCCAACTAGCTAGGGTTTGGGTGTGAAGAAGAGGGTCTTAAAAAAAATCGAGAGAGTGCTAGGGCAAGGGCTAGAATGAAGCTTTTGGGAAGGGAGGGAAGAAGCTAGGGCAATGGGGAGGGTGAGGGGAGCAACACGGGAAGATGAAAGAAAAGGAAATGAGGGATTTAAGTGGGGTGGGCTAAATTAGAGCATTTATGAACAACTTACAAGCGATCTAAAATCCATCATTTCGTAAAATTATTACAGACAATCATCTTAGTTGTATATTAAAATAACTCATCGGTTAACACCCACTAAATGACTGTTCCTAAATAACCTACATACTATGGTTGACGGTTAATTGTTGTTTAGAATCGATAGACTAATTCATTGGTAATAATAAAAACCTTCTGTAGAAATATTACTGTAGCTAAATGACGGTATGTCATGTTGTTAAGTTGTCACTAATAGTCGACCTGATGAACAGTCATTCTGCTGTTGAAAATTGGTATATTTTTTCTGATGTATAATTTTTTCATCGATTATACCTCATTTTCCTGTATTATGATGAGAGGAGTTACTGCTCTCATTTCCTTAATAGTGCATAGCATGTAAAGTTGTGGAAAATTTTGTTAGAACTATGTTTAACTTCAATGCACAAACAACATTAATCCATAGGAGGCTCCCTCACATCAGAAAGAATCATTTAAAATAATATAATTTTTTTATCATTTGTTTTCAGTTTTTGTTGATCTTTCTCCTCATAAAAACATTGTTATCTTCGTGATCCTGATAAATACTATGGATTTAATCTCACTTCTCCATTAATATCACATTCTTTGTTGATGGTCAAGGATTTAGGTTTACCTACTTTACAATTGATGTATCTCTTGCTAAAAATAATACTCGATTTTTTTAATCCTTAACAAATTAACATAGTAAAGGATTGATGTCATCATCATTTTTTATTAGACTTTAGATTTTCGTTTTTCATTGGAATATGATTTTTTTCTCCTCTTTCAATATGTATCCTCAAGTCATCATAATTATCTCACTTTCTTCGAAAGTTATTATTGCTCATAAAAGAATTTGTCCTATTCATCATTTAGTTGTTCAAATATGGATCTCAACATCATCGGTATCATCATAACTTAACTCACTATTGCTAATATTTGTACTATATCTCATGGAAGAATCTATTTCCATGAATTCAAACTTAAGAGGCAACATGGTAGGGCTAAAAAAAGCTGCGAAGATTCTAAATTTTAATGCACTTTACCCTAAACCCTAATTATATACGTTTTGTTGATGGGATTAAAAAATAAACTATATCTAGATTTGATTTTCTTGGTTTCGGCTCTTTTTTATTAGCCTCTTGAATTTCTTTTGTTTTTGATATATGAGCAAATAATAATTTTTGTGCTTAAATAAAGATTGTACAACTATAAAGAGATGGTAACAAAAGACCCCAATTCTGTAGTTACTCTTACGTGGGCAAGATAATTCAATTTGTTGGCATATTAATATTCCCTTAGAAAAATTCATCAATACAAAAAACCATCACTATTTCTTTCACATCCTCTCCATGTTGTTCATATGTAAATGCTAGTTCATATGCTTTCATTTTCTTTCACTTTTAACATCTCCCCATCAAAAACGCAAAGTGTTACCTTGAGTCTCTAACACACAACCCCCCGACCCTTGATGAAAGTACTCTCTTATAAGAGATTTATATTTTCTCTAGCTTCTTATTTTCTTTATAGATTACAATAAAGCCTTATTTTTATTCAATTATTTTCATTACAAATTTCCCTTCATTTATTTTCTCAAGTTCTCAAATTGATCACAATTTCATCAATTATTCTAGAATTTTTCTCAAATGCCCATGCCCTCCTTTGAATAGTCCAGGGAGAGGCAAAAAAAACCTAATATGATAAAACACGCCATTGCACAAAATCCTTGACATGTTTTCCTTCAGCAAGAGAATTTTACTATAGTTAATTTATTCCTTGTTTTTTAGTAGGAAATCATTTCTTGTGCCGACTTTTTGATGAAATTTATTAATATTTTAAATATGACATTTTTTATTATAAATTATGTAGATAGTGTTATACATTTTGAATGATAAACTGTGGATTTTTTCTGATAGTGTTATACATTTTGAATGATAAACTGTGGATATGGCAATTTCATGATTTTTTCGTCTTCTTCTTCTTTTGTTTTTTTAGGGTTAATGCTTTCATTTTATATATTTATTTTACTAATAATAAGATCAACTTCTACTAAAAAAATGTGACCCATCAATATTGGCTCATGCATTGCATCTAGCATATACGCTAACAAACAAACAGTACATGTTTTCTCATTAAAGTCATGCAAACCGCTGTTTAAATTTTCTTCAAATAAATCATCAAACTGCTTGAATTCGATGATTTAAAAATCTCATTTGTTTTCTTCTTGAAATTTAATTAAATTAATCCCGTCTCCAACTTCTCTTCCTTCATCGCACATTAATGTCGCCTTCAAAGCCCCACATGGTGGCCTGAAGAAGTCATGAAAAGGAAGACAGAGAAAGTGATAGCAATAGTACAGTCCCACCCAGTCATTCATTCATTCATCATAAACTTCCTCTTTCTTCTTCAACCCCCATACAGCAGTACGTCTCCCTCAATTTTTGGTTCCTCCAATACTGTCAAAATCTTGCTGGTGTCACTTTCAACTGTCTCAAACACCCAATATAGAGAGAGAAAGAGAATCAGAGGGACTAATTAACATCCTCCTCCTTTCTCAATTTACATATCATAAGCACACGAGAAAATATTAGGTCACAACTTTTAATGGATTAGAAGTCCAACGGTGAGTCGTCACGTGTCAAGTGGCGCAGAAGAGTATATTACCATGGGGTTATTTGACACTGGACTCCTAATACAAATTTACATTCGAAGTCCTATGTAATATTTCATGAAAAAATATTAGGTCGGAACTCCTAATACATTAGATGTCCAATAGTGCAGCGTCACGTGTAAAGTAGCCCACAAAAAAGTATATTACAGTGGTGTCATTTGACAAGTGACGCCCCACTATTGAACTCCTAATACAAAATGGCATTAGGAGTCTTAATGTAATATTTTCTCTACACACACACAAAGACAAACACGTAAACTTATCTTGCAGTTGCATCAGTATCACTCTTCTCTCCACTTCCTCTGATCATAGATGCACAAAGGCTAAACTTGGGAGGGATTGGATCTAATCACAAAAGAAAAAGAAGTAGAAGGAAAAAAATTAAAATGTCGATTCAGGTCTCCGAACTCTTGCCGGACAAAGTCTGCTATGTCCACTGCAATTTCTGCACTACAGTCCTCGCCGTATGCTACTCTCTCTCTCTCTCTTTCTTTCTCTCTTTCTCTTCCCCCCATTTCTTTCTTTCTCTAATGCAAGGCTTCACAAAATAGAGCATGTTAATTTGTTTATCCAAGCAGCGGTTCATGATTTCAGATCTTAAAGAGTTAACAAAACTTTCTGATATTTAGTTAATTAGTTAGAAAGTAATGGATATTTTAAGCTCCACAAGAGCTTTCAAAATCACTTCGATATTAGAGTTTTTTTCTTACTAAAAAATAGGAAATTTGTGCTTGAGTAAAGATTTTAAGTTTGTTAATCTACTATGTTTGGTTATATATATTTTTTTCAGATAATACAGAGTGAACACTAAGTGATGATTTTGATATCATTTGTATGTTGTGTGGCTTCCATTCGATGTCAATTGTGAATTATTTAAACAATGAATCGAAACAAAAATTTGACCTTTTTTAGGGATCATCTGTGCAGTGAAATATTGGGCTTTGCTACATAGAGGTAATGTCATTGTTAAATGTTCAATGAAATTTCTTCCATTAGTTATATTAATTATTATTATTATTATTTGTAAGTAAAGCTTAAAAACGGCATAAAATAAAACATTCAAAGATGGAAAATATAAAAATAAAGACCAATTTATCATGTTTGAATTGATTGAAAAGATTGTTAGGGCAAATATTTTAGTTACTTTCCAAGATTTAATAACTGTAAAACTTAATTAATGTGAATTTAAATTCGATTAATTTCCTTCCCATGACTTTTTGGATATGTGGTCATTAGCTAGATGACTTGTTTCCTTGGGCACCATAATTTTTTCTTTTCAAATTCTTATGGAACAATGAAATAACCGATTAGATGTTTCTGTGACAGTTTTTGGGACTGCTTCAATATCTAATTCGTGTTTTCTGTCAACAGATTTTTTTTGACTTATGATTACAAGTGTACCCAATATATTATACTTTCTATATAAGATATATAAAATCATTTACTTGACTAATTCTAAATTTAAAAGGACATAATTCAGTCATGTTGCAACCACTAAAACTCAGTCCAAAGGCCAGGTTATTCAAGTTTTGTGGTGGTTAATAATGCTAAAAGAGTTTATTTGAAATTATTATTAAGAAAGGTACAATAAACTTCATAATTCTATCTCTAGTGCTAGGTGTTTTCTGTTTTTCTGTTTCTGAGCACATCAATAGACCAGTAAATTTCAGCTTCCCCCATTCCTCTTGTTTATAAGAACTCGAGAAGAGTGAATAACTTGGTGATGTATATCATCTCTCACTCTCTCTCTCTCTATCTACATTTCTTCAATTCTCTTACATCCATTAATTTTGTGGTTGTGAAAGAGAGGCATGTTAGGACATAAGAGGTTTCAGAAGGTCACGAAGAGATACTGTCATTTTACATCGAAAAAGATGCTTTACATTTAACGAGGTGAACAATTTTTCTTTTTGGTATCACATGCTCAAGTAAATAGATTAAAGACACAATTGTCTCCTTTTAAAGGTAAGTGGCACTGACATCTCGTAACCTGCATGTCATGAAAGCAAACAAAAAAAAAATGGAATTTCAATTTCTTTTTTCTTTTTACTGAGTGTGCTACAATCAAATTGCTAACTAATCGAAAGAAAAAAAAAAGCAACATAAATAATAGAAGCCTAAGAAGCATGTTTTGTTTTCTTGACTATGACGATTGTAAACAATCTAATTATATATAACAAATTTTATCTTGATTCTGGATTAGTTTAATGCCATTTAACAAATTGAAAGTAGAAGTTATATACACTTGTTGTTGAAGGTGAAGTTTGAGCTTTTTTAATGCTATTTCATTGTCATAATCCCTTGAGAATTTTAAAGATACACTCTTAATTCAAATCAATGGAGGTGATATAAAAGTAAGGGAACTAATAATGTTTTTGAACCAAATCATTTGTGACAACCAAGTTGAAAAGTTTATAACAATTATTTAAGAAAAAAAGTTTTTTTTGAGCAAACTAGAAATAAAGAAGAAAATGTAAAGAGTGTGATTTAACTTCTCTAATGGATAGGTGTGATTTTGTTAAAGTTTTAATGGAATCAACATTAAATTTAGAAAATTAATGTATAATAAAGTTTTGTTGGGTATTTTACATGTTTTATAACAATGATTAATAAGATAAGTTCTCTTTTACTATGGGTGGTGATCAACTATTACAGGGTAAGAATAAAAAATTCATGATCATTAGAGCGGGATTTTTTTTTTTTAAAAGTTTAATAAAATAGAATGAGTAGTATTAAATGTTAAATATATTCTAGAGTTATAAATGGAACTTAACTTTTTTAGCAATGTTAGATCTAAATAGATTTACATTTATGATTGATTTTAGATCGAATTTAGAGAATATCTAAAGTCTCTCATTGTGTTGAAGGTTAACATAAAATTTAATTTCTACAAATGAAATATAATAAGAAAATAAATAAGAACATACCAAATTCACATCCAACGCATTAATTAAAGGTTTAGACATGCAATTAAATTTTGTTTGAATAAATAAGTTATAAAAGAATTATTAGGCAATGATCATATTAAAATTTTATGTTTTTGTGATGAATGTTTTTTGAGTGATGCATGAAAGAAAAGTTTAATATGAAATGCTATCAAGTTATGAGGAGTACTTACGATTATGTAATTCATTTTAAATGCGGTCCATAAAAACTATAATCTCATCATGCAAAAAATATTTCTTATTATTGATTAATTATCATATAAAGAATCTATAACTTTAATCTCTTAAAATTTATGAATAAATCATTTGATTTTTTTAATCATTAGTAGATTCTAATAGATAGTCAAAGAAAAAAAGATAAGTACTAGCACTATTACCAAGTCATTTTTTTTTATCAAATAAAATAACAATGGACTTATTATTTTATAGAAAATATTGCTTAGACTTATAGGAGAATCTTATAAGATGTCAGGGACACATGCAGTGCTTATAGCAAAGAATGTTGGCCTTTAAAAGATAAGCATAAAAGTAAGTTAAAAGTTGTTGAGATTAGAATGTTGAGGTGGATTAGTGGCTTGACACTTAAAGTTAATGCTAAATTAATGTATTTATGATAGGGTTCGTGCAGCTCTAATGGGAGACAATATTAAAGAGAATCGTCTTAAATGGTCTGATCAGATTAAACATCGTCCATTTGATGGAAGGTAGATGCAAACCTAAAAGCTTTGGGCATATTGTATATTAAACTACCTTAATTTATTAGAATTAAATGAAAATATGACACTCAATAGGACATAATGGAGAAAAATATATTAATGTAGCCAACCACAAGGCTTGTTGTTGGTGTTATTGTTGCTATTGTAACTAAAATAACATTGTAAGAATTAAATTATATTAAAGATGAAATTGTTAAAGGTAAATTGTAACAGAATGAGCATTAAAAGAGTTTCAACATCACTATTAAGAAAATGTGAGGTACATGCATGTACTATAGTGTTAGATTACATGAATTTTGATAAGGGGAATGATAATAATATCTTATCGTACAAATAGATGTCCATCAACAACTTTTAAACAATTCAACAATGATAGAGATAATATCCGTTAAGGCTAAAAGTATAGGAATTCAAGGTCTTTAGTTCTATGTTATATGCTTATGTAAGTTAGGATATATTATGAGAATTGAGGGTTTTTAGCTATGTATTCAATGCTTAAATAAGTTTGGATATTTTTGGTAATAGTAAACTAAAAAGTATGACTTGAGGCATCTGAAATGGCAAAGGATTATAAAATTCACTATTTAGAATTGGATTTAAGGAAGTATGTTTTTCTACAAAAAAATATTATGTTTTTTTTCAATGTTAAAGAGAAAATTATAATACCAACATGAAGCAAAAGAAAAAAGAATTAATTTTGATATTACTTCTTTACTTATAATTTCTTTTTGGTGAAGAGTTTGTACAATTTTTAGCTAATAGAATAATAACATTAGAAGGTCTAACATTCAAGATTATCATAATGATATTCCTCAACTAAGCATTATTGATTGTAAAATTGATAAGAATTAGGCTCAGTAGATAAGTGAATTTTTGAATTATAACGTTAATATCGTTTCTATTTATTATAGTAAAAGAGATTTTTGATGGAGATAAAATAAAATTTAAGAAGGATATCAAAATTGGAGAAAATGATCAATGAATTAAGGAAAACTTTGAAGCAATAAAAACATATTTAAGAAAATAATACATGCACGAAAATTCATAGTACGCTAAGGCTTATTAGCAAAGGTTTTTTGTTTTAAAATTTGTATCCAATCTAAAATAACATATTCTTAGAGTTGAATGGCCTAATTACAAATTTAGGCATAATGAATAAAGGTAAATGTATTTTAATGATTTCTTTTTATCATTACCAAACATTTATTTATTTCCATTATGTTGGATCTTTTTGTAATTTTTTTCTTGAACATGATAAGAGCTGAAAGTAAAGAAAATATGCCAATTTGGTGGATTCATAAATGTGATCTACATTCTACGACCTTATATATATTTTCTTGTGGGAAAGATCGAGAATTTAAGTATGTTAACAAAATCATGCTATGAATTGAATTAATATGCTAAAGTCTGGATTAAATATTTTTGATGAATTGATCATGTTTAAGAATAATTTTAACTAGAGTAAATAATTTACTAACCTTGAATATTAAAAAAAAATGTGTTGATATATCTCATAATGTATTTGGATGATATTTCAATATATTGCAAAGAAAACCTAAAATCTATATGATTAAAGTATTACAGGAAAGATTGAAAAGATAATATCAATGTGCTGGTTGGAAGTTTATAATAAGTTTACTAAAGATATATCACCATGATTACCAAGTCACTTTCCAACAATAATTTTCTTCCAAAATGCTTGACAACGAATAGTTCGAAATACAGCTGAGCCTTTCCTGGTTACTGGCTAATAGTTATTTGCAGTTTATAACTGAGATTCAATGCAAAGATCGTAGAAGAAAGAAATTTTTTACTAGCAAAAGTATAGTTAGGAAAATATAATCAACAAATTATGTTGTTTGATTGGTCATATAAAATGTGATTTGTATAGCTTTTAAATAATCCTGCGAGAGTTTTAAAAGAGATGAGAAAAAAGAGAGAGATCAATTTTCTTCTTGTGCAACTTGTGTCTAATATTGTTAATAGTATGACATATTTAATTTCAGGTAAATATCCCGAGCAACAGTATGTCTAATATTGTTACAGTAAGATGTGGTCATTGTTCCAATCTTTTATCAGCGGATATGAGGGGTATGGTTCTAACTGACACTCAGCAAAATAATCAGGTAAACATTTGCTTACATATGCAATCCTTCATGCGTAGAGTTTAACATATCTCTGCTTTGGCAGGATTAATTTCAGTATCTCAGCATGCTATAGGAAAAATATTTGCTGTCAGCTTTAGTTTATTTTTCACTGTTTAGTAGCTGTAGGCTTATGTGAAGCCCAACCAATGCGCTATCTCAATAATGACTGAATATGGATCTTATGGCTTCACTTTTGCAAAAGTAATGATCTTGAGTCAGATATGTTTCGAAGAAAAAAAGATTTTTTTTTCATTAATATTTTTTTTTTTGGTTTTAACTAGAAGTATAACTCAGGCCTTAGCGAGCCGAACACGAGTTGTTCACGAATAAAAAGACTTTTTTGACAATCCTAATCACGTATCCATAAGATGTTAAGAGTTGGGACAAGATTAAAAAGCTATTGCTTATATTAAAACATCATTTGAATCTAATTTAAGAAAATTTTATTCTATTTTTCTAATTAGTATATTTAATTGATTATAAATCTGTGTAGCTTGTAGCCAATTAATTCTTTTAAAAACAGTATTTTGAGCCGAAACAAATCGAACACGAACGAACAAATCTTAGTTAGTGTTCGGCTCATTTACTTAGCGAACGAGCCGAACACGAGTTTCTTAATGAGTCAAATATGAGCTGTTTGGGAATAACGAGCTATTTTGACAGCCCTAATTTTAACATGATGTCAACACAATTCATAGGATGTTATTATGACATCCATAATCCGTAAAAGAATCTTTTCTATTGCGTATTTTTTACAAGGTTTAAAAATTATGAGAGGTGTTATATTTTAATAACTTAATCAATAAATTATGTTTTTTTAACTATTTTAATATATTTGTGTATCATGACGCCATAATAAAAGACATATATATTATGAAATTATTATATTACTGAGGAGTTCCTTTTATTTAAAATTATATATATATAGTTGGCTTATTCATATATAAAAAGTGTGTAAAAATTGCACCTAATAAAAATGAATATGTACTTGTAATTTTTTGTAAGAAATTCAAAAGAAAAGCAATTAATTGAAGATAAGCGATTTAAATTTGACCAATAAACTTCTCATAAAACACTCAAAAACTACAAATTAGAAATGTCCGAATAAGATTTAAATACTTACAAAAAGTGTTGGGATTTATTTTTACTAAACTTCTAAGGATCGAAATACAAACAGAAAGTATATCCTGCATGCTTTATTGTATACGAACATCATATGCAAAAATGCATACGGTCTTCATTCTCCACCTTTCATCACAACAGAGGTACATAATAGTGGGCTTTATTTATTTTTTTTTAAATTAAAAAAAAAATTGATGCATAGTAAAAATAGTAAAAGTCAGATACCATATGCATTTCTCTTTCTATACATGATTTCCATATGCAATAACTTATGCAATAATTTTTCATATAGAGTTACGTGGGATAAATATATTTAACTATGATTTTTTTGAAACATAACATGAAACATAGTGGGTTTTGGTGGCAGGAAATTCAGTACGACATGAAAACTGAGGATCTCCATGTGCATCTGGGGTCAGTTTCTGAATGCAGTAGGGCATCAGAAGTCAACACATTTGGCGTTGGTCAACAAAGAATTCTGCCAAATCGCCGTAAGAACAGATTTTCTTAGTTAAAATAATTATTAAACAAGTTTGTCACCTAGTTTATCTCATTTACTTCATCATGCAGCACAAAAGGGGTTAATAAAACAATATATTAATTGATTTTTATTATTTTGGAAAAAAAAATTTAGGCTATATAACAGTGCAAAAAAATATTTTTCTTTATACAAAATCTGAACATTATGTAATTATCTACTTTTATTTAAAAAAAGAAGGGAAAGTAATAAAGCTGTAACTTCCAAATACTCTAACAATTATTCTGTTTGAATTTCACCTTTTGTCTTCTAACCAGCACCAGAAAAGAGGCAGAGAGTACCATCAGCTTATAACAAGTTCATTAAGTAAGTTCATAATATCTATTCTCTTTCAAGTCTTATAAACTTCATTTACATATTAAAAAACAAGTGACTTTATAAAAATCACAAGTAAGAAAGATTACATTTTTATTTCCCGTTTTATAAATGAAGAATTCATTAGAGGGTGTTTGGTAGAACCTTTTAACAGGAATTGTCATAGAATTTACTAAGTCCAGGCAGTAGCTAAAATGCAAGAGATATGTGCATTTATGAATTTTTTAAATGTTAAATCCTACTCTCATCCAGACACCTTCTTAGGGTTATAAATCAAATACCAACTATTTGGAAACAGCTATGACATTATATAAAAATTCTTTTTTTTTTTTTTCCATGTTAACAGGGAAGAGATCCAAAGAATCAAAGCAAGTAACCCTGACATTAGCCACAGGGAAGCTTTCAGTGCCGCAGCTAAGAATGTAAGTTATAAGTTTTGTTAAGAAGTAGAAACACCAAGTATCAACAACTAGCATTAATATGCACGGCTACTTTAGAATTTCTTTTAGCATTCTGAGCCATACAAAGCTTGATTATGTCTTTCTTCTGCATTTCCTGCTGTTTTGATGCCATATCTTATTGATCAAGCGGTTGATAATGAAATATGAGCCATACTTCACAAAAAAAAATAAAAACAAAAATAGAAAATATCATATATCCATCAACCACCAAGTTTATTTCAATCCTATAATGTAAGTTTTATGATAAATTGATCTAAAAAAAAGCAAAATGAAATCAATAATTAACCTAAAGTAGCATACTATGTATATATTAATTTTAAAATAAATAAAAAGCACTATAAAACAAATAAATTCAAGGAAGAAATCATTTTAAAAAAAGGTGAAACCATACCATGCCTTATATGTGAGAGGTGTTGCCATATGCAGGTTTTCTTAAACTGAAAGAAAGTATTTTAATCAGTCAAATTAAAATAAAAAATTTTTAACCTATCCAAAAGTAAAAAAAAGAAAAGTAGAAGGAAAATAAAAGGAAAAAAAATTGACAATAGGTATCTTAAATGGGAATTCATTGTTTTGATTTTAGCATATAAGATTCTTTTGTGAGCTTATAATCATAAATGTGAATATCATATCAGGTTCTAATGCACAACAAAGTTAAAATAATCTCTTCAAACTTTATTTTAAATCATTTGTCTAGTCTTTTTTCACCAGCTGTGATTTTCTTGTTTCTATGCTCATAAGATAGGTAAGAATATGCATAACCTGTGTAACATACTGATTCAAAGTATCATGACCTCAGTCTACCTGCAACAGTTAGATACCACACATTAATACATCCCAACAATGCTATTATCATCAAAATTAATATGATTAGTATTTAGAA